ACAAATTGATTGATGCCATTGCTAGTGGACGTTTCGTCTCCGGGTTTATCACCATCCAAGTGATAAGCACTTCTGTTGACATGCAGCATCATTAATTCGTTAATTTTCGGTACATTTTCCCATTATATAAAAATTTACATTAATCGAAACACGGCCGTATTCTGTTTTTAATGCTCTTCAACTTCGTGTTGGATTTGGTTTTACATATGTTTTGATACGAGCGCCACTGATGAGTCTAATGAAGATGAAATTCGCGTCTCGCTTTACAAATTATAAGTTTGGTATCTTTAATCAGTTTTATCATTTTTAGTAAGTACATGTCACATAATCAAAATGACCATAACGATTGTATCTACGTATGTATGTTACTGTCTCTCTTTTTGTCAAAATTTAACGAATTACTAAATAAAATGTGGTACCTACATTTCAGCGATTTCCTGCATCTAATATAACCCAGGGAACTTAAAATTAAGGATACTTCTGAAATACAATGTCTGCTTCAAATATGGGTCTTTTTCTTTAAATTAACATATCTGTTTAAACGAGACGATATCAGTTTCTCTATTGTAAACCGTATAGCAGTAGTACATATAAATTGATCCATTGTTCACATGCATGTTCACATTATAAGCAATTTATTACCAGGGGTGTTCTCATTACGCAAAAATTGCTAAACATGGTTATGAAGAAGATAGACTGAAATCGACAAGTTTTATGATCACCATGACAAACTGGTATACTCATGCGATGGTTCCGTGTCTCAACTAACGGTTTTGATCTAAAGATACCAGAAAAGTCGTTCAATCTGGAGATTTGTCGATTTTTTTTACATCTGAAATGAGTCTGGATTCGTATGGTAGGTGATGTGTACATAGCTGTGTCAACGTGTATTTGTTCCACCTAACAGAAGTTCCCATGGAAACTTTGTCATAAACAATGTCATAATATCTGTTCCTGTTGGAACAAATATTCTATAACCTTTATTCCGTTAAGAAAAAATACTGTAATATTTGTTCCAGTGGAAATATTATTCCATAATATTCCATAATACTTCTTTCATTTGAAATTCATATTATGAGGAATTTATATTTTTTTGCATATATGTTTTTTGTATGTAAATCGTACTACGAGTGTCTTGTAAAAGAATTAGGAATAAATGAGCACTCAGGTAATACCACATACAAAAACATATCATTTGACAAGGATGAGATTATGGCGAATCATAAGTCCTTCATGGCTTCAATGAACATTAAATTGAACAGCAAATCTGAGGACTTACCTTGTTTGTATTGGATACCTAAGCCTCACAAAATTCCGTACAAACAACGGCACATCGCCGGCTAATCTGCATGTTCTACAAAGGAATTGTCCATTAGATTGACAAAAATTCTGTCTGCAGTGAAAGAATGTCTTCAGAAATACTTTGAAACTGTTTACTCACGTGCTGGTATTAACCATACATTGTATATGGATTCTAAAAAGCTCTAAAGAACTTCTGGATAATTCAAATCTCGATCTTTCTTTGAAAATAATTCTATCAAAACCTTTGATTTTTTCAACCCTTTATACCACCATTCCCCATGTCAGGTAAATACAGTTTGTCAATTGATTTAAATCTGATTCGTATGATAATTCATGCCAAAACAAAAGTGCTGACTACTCGTCTGGCGATACCCTCGGGGAGAAAAACTCCACCAGCATGTGTACCAGTTATTGAACCCACAGCCTGATTGTGAACCTTTTGCAGTCATTTTTTTGTATTGCGTTGTACCATGTGTATTTCAAATCTTCAAAGGAATTCAATTTGTTTTTATTCAATTATTTTAATTATATTCAACTTTTATTGCTGTAGAATAAATGAAAATCATGATCAAAATATTTCGGCTAACAGATGTATCCTCTATATATCAGATCTTCTTTATATCAAATAGTTGATAAATGTGCAGTATAATTGGTACCCTTAATGTTATACTCCTGAGTGACAATCAATTATTAATAATAAAAAATTAAACAGATAAGTTAATGTATTGAGTATAGGTAACGTGGCGAAAAAAATCACTTTTTCATTTTAGATTGTCATTTATCAAAAACCTGTTTACAGATTTTTTTAAAAGTTTGATATACAATTGCTGTTAATATTTTAATTTTTCGAAACACTTAGGTTATTTCTACTCCAGATATAGATGAACTAATTCGTATTTGGCACAACTTTTCGGAACATATGTTTTTTTATGCTCTTCAAACTCATATTTGATTTGGTCTTTCGTCTATTTTGATTCGAGCGCCTCTGATGAGCCTAATGTAGACGAAACGCGTGACTGGCGTAACAAGCTTGTTATCTTTAATAAGTATTTACGACAAATTGATTGATGCCATTGCTAGTGGACGTTTCGTCTCCGGGTTTATCACCATCCAAGTGATAAGCACTTCTGTTGACATGCAGCATCATTAATTCGTTAATTTTCGGTACATTTTCCCATTATATAAAAATTTACATTAATCGAAACACGGCCGTATTCCGCACAATTTATCGGATTTGTTTTGTTTTTAATGCTCTTCAACTTCGTGTTAGATTTGGTTTTCATATGTTTTGATACGAGCGCCACTGATGAGTCTAATGAAGATGAAATTCGTGTCTCGCTTTACAAATTATAAGTTTGGTATCTTTAATCAGTTTTATCATTTTTAGTAAGTACATGTCACATAATCAAAATGACCATAACGATTGTATCTACGTATGTATGTTACTGTCTCTCTTTTTGTCAAAATTTAACGAATTACTAAATAAAATGTGGTACCTACATTTCAGCGATTTCCTGCATCTAATATAACCCAGGGAACTTAAAATTAAGGATACTTCTGAAATACAATGTCTGCTTCAAATATGGGTCTTTTTCTTTAAATTAACATATCTGTTTAAACGAGACGATATCAGTTTCTCTATTGTAAACCGTATAGCAGTAGTACATATAAATTGATCCATTGTTCACATGCATGTTCTCATTACGCAAAAATTGCTAAACATGGTTATGAAGAAGATAGACTGGAATCGACAAGTTTTATGATCACCATGACAAATTGGTATACTCATGCGATGGTTCCGTGTCTCAACTAACGGTTAAGATCTAAAGATACCAGAAAAGTCGTTCAATCTGGAGATTTGTCGATTTTTTTTACATTTGAAATGAGTCTGGATTCGTATGGTAGGTGATGTGTACATAGCTGTGTCAACGTGTATTTGTTCCACCTAACAGAAGTTCCCATGGAAACTTTGTCATAAACAATGTCATAATATCTGTTCCTGTTGGAACAAATATTCTATAACCTTTATTCGTTAAGAAAAAATACTGTAATATTTGTTCCAGTGGAAATATTATTCCATAATACTTCTTTCATTTGGAATTCATATTATGAGGAATTTATATTTTTTTGCATATATGTTTTTTGTATGTAAATCGTACTACGAGTGTCTTGTAAAAGAATTAGGAATAAATGAGCACTCAGGTAATACCACATACAAAAACATATCATTTGACAAGGATGAGATTTTGGCGAATCATAAGTCCTTCATGGCTTCAATGAACATTAAATTGAACAGCAAATCTGAGGACTTACCTTGTTTGTATTGGATACCTAAGCCTCACAAAATTCCGTACAAACAACGGCACATTGCCGGCTAATCTGCATGTTCTACAAAGAAATTGTCCATCAGATTGACAAAAATTCTGTCTGCAGTGAAAGAATGTCTTCAGAAATACTTTGAAACTGTTTACTCACGTGATGGTATTAACCATACATTGTATATGGATTCTAAAAAGCTCTAAAGAACTTCTGGATAATTCAAATCTCGATCTTTCTTTGAAAATAATTCTATCAAAACCTTTGATTTTTCAACCCTTTATACCACCATTCCCCATGTCAAATATTGTCATATGAATCGGAGTTCCTTCAGACACTTGTCAAAAACAAGAAGATCAAAGAAGCCAGATCATTTAATTTCACATTCAGATATATTGATGATGTTCTTTCCATTAACTATCAAAACTTTTCTGAGTGGGTTCCATTAAGATATCCTCCAGAAATAGGAATTAAAGAAACAACAGACACGACTTCATCCGCCTCATTTTTAGACTTATACCTCGAATTGACATAACCGGTCATCTCAGTACCAGAATCTATGACAAACAAGACGATTTTAATTTTGAAATTATCAATTTCCCCCACCTTAGCAGCAATACACCAACATCACCTGCATATGGGATATACATTTCCCAACTCATTCGGTATTCAAGAGTTTTCAGCTGCTACTCAGATTTTATGAAACGTCACCAGTGTCTGAGCAGAAAGTTGGTGAACCAGGGTTATGTCAAAGAACATCTCGTCCTTTTTCTAAAAAAAAAGTTCCTCGGAAGATACCAAGACCTTGTTGATAATTATTCCGTATCAACTTCACAAATAATATATGATGGTCTTAAGGTATAGATTCTATGTACTAACGTTGTTTATAATCTTAATTACGTGTTAAAGTGTTCTTTTATTTGACTGTATATTATTTACTTTTACTGTTTAGTCCATTTTTGGTAATATCCTTTTGGCGTGGCTCAGTATTTATACATCCCGTCATTGTGTTATTGTGATATGGTTTTTTTTTGTATTCTTGTCTTTTATATATGACATTTTGTTTTTCTTTGTTGACATAGTGGTTTGTTTTTATAGTGATTAAAATTATAACACAATGTTGACTGCTGTACCCAAATTTTTGACATTTTTACCTAAAATGTCTTGTTTTGTTCACACATTGTTGTCAATATAATGGAATTTTATGCGACTGTCATACAAGTGAGAGGTTAAGCTAGCTATAAAACCAGGTTTTATCCATCATTTTCTACATAAGGAAAATCAGCAATATGTCAGTCATCATGGTATTTTTGTGTGTTGTTATATTGAATTTATATAAAGATATATACACTTTATTAAAAAACAAAAGAAAAACACTGAAATAATAAACATATTATATATTTAGACTTTTCCAGATCGTTCTTGTTAAACAACAACTACAATATGACTTTTAATCGTAGTAGTTTACAGAAAAACCACATATTTGCCAATAAGAATTCTGAAATCCATTCATAGTTATAATTCTTGATATTGGTACATCATTAACTTATATCGAACTCAATGGTAAATACAGTTTGTCAATTGATTTAAATCTGATTCATATTCATCTTACATCATCGACCCAAAAGCGTCAGACTAATTCTTTCTGAATATGTCGGTTTATTCAATACATTCATTTCTATGTATCTCTTTCTTTCATTTTTATCTCCTGGTTGCCACAATATCGTTGGTCGTAAAGAGATTCTAAATTTCTGTAAAACATTAGGATTTGCATGTGTAATTTTGAAATAGATTAAAATTATGTAAAACCTGTGGTGATTGGGACAGTAGTTCTTCCTTTTTCAACTTGGCAAATAATACATATGAAAAGAAGTATGTTTTATGAAATAATTCTATATAATTACTTGACAGCAAATGAGAAAACAATAAGCATAACACATTGGTAAAAGCTTTTTCTTAACCACAGTTAATTTGAGCATGCTTAAAAACAGGGCTTTGATTAACTCCCCATAATGAATGAAAATTATATATTACAATTGAATTTTTAATGAAGAAATAACGGGTATAAAACACAAGTAATACTTAACTTTCAAAATCACATTCTATTTTATTCGAAATCCCATGCAATTGTTTGGTTTTTTTTCTCGGGATTATGATTAAATCACACAGCGAAAACAGTAATCGTGAAGTTATTTTCTTGTTGATAAAACATCTTTAAATATGATATTTAAATATTCTGATTAAAGAATGAAATGTTTTGATTCAAGCGCCACTGATGAGTCTTATGTAGACGAAACCCTCGTCTGTCATACTTTAAATCATAATAAAAATAAGAAGATGTGGTATGAGTGCCAATGAGACAACACTCCATTCAAGTCACAATGTGTAAAAAGTTAACAATTATAGGTCAAAGTACGGCCTTCAACACGGAGCTTTGGCTCACACCGAAAAGCAAGCTATAAAGGGCCCCAAAATGACTAGTGTAAAACCATTCAAACAGGAAAACCAACGGTCTAATCTATATAAAAAACGAGAAACGAGAAACAATTATGAACCACATCAACAAACGACAACCACTGAACAACAGGTTCCTGACTTAGGACAGGTGCAAACAAATGCAGCGGATTTAAACGTTTAAACTGGCGCCAACCTTCACCCTGGTACCTTTGATGATATTTTACAACAACTGGCGGATGCCACTGCTGGTGGACGTTTCGTCCCCGAGGGTATTAGCCCAGTAATCAGCTCTTTTGTGTTGACATGAAATATAATTGATTATTCATTTCTGTAAATTTACTGTTTATAAAATGTAGAATTAATCGAAACACTAAGGTTTTCTACCACCAGGAATAGATTGCCGTAATCGTATTTGAAACCGCTTTTTTTAATTATCGATTTTTAATGTTTTTCAACTTCACATTTGATTTGGCCTTCCAACTGTTTTGATTCGAGCGCCATTGACGAGTATCACGTTGCCTAAACGAGCGTCTGGCGCATTAAAAATCATAAGCCTGGTATTTTTTATGAGTTAATACATGAATGTTTGCCATTTATAAACTGATTAATTTATAAGGCAGGATTGGAGAACTTGTTTGAGGATGGATTGTGCTGAGAGAAAACAATTATGTTAGAGTAAACAAGTGACTTTTACATGTCCAACAGATAGCTTCATATTATACAAACCTCTAATACAGTATTTCCTTCAGACTGTAAAACGGTTATAAAGGCACATATTATAACAGGAAGTAGAGGAACTAAGGCATATATAAACCCAAATACATTAGCTAATAGTGGGTAACTGTAATCTCCATACGTTGGTGATTCATATCGAACCACAATCATAATCAGTAAGATCTAAAAAATATAGCAATATTTACTTCTCCACTACATACATCTTGAAATTTGGTACTGTCGATGGCGTAAAAATCTTTAGTGGAAATTTCAAAATTCCACATTACCTCGATTAAAATCATTAGCTCATGTATGATAATATAAAAGCGAAATAATGGTTGCACATCATAACACAATGTGTGTTTTCACTATCACCAATAATTAATTTCTATAGTGGTGTATTTTTTTTGTATTTCAAAGTTAGAAACACATGTACAAGTAGCTTATAAATTAAAGTGTTTCAACTGCGTAATTATCTCCACTTCATTCCTTTAGCTTTCGGTATTGATTTTTAGGTATTTCGAAATTTTGATTGATTTGTTTATATTATATGTAAGTGACTTCAAAGAAAACTTACAATAAGTAATACTGGCGTGACAAAGCACCACAAAATCCTTATTACAATTGGGATAGGCCGACCAATCATAAGTTCTATATCTCTGGAAAAATTGTTGGCTCCTGAAATTAATGTTTTTGTTACATAATTCATTAGAATAATCAAAATGTCTACTCGTATGTAGAATACGTTTTTTTTTTCTATTTTGATGGAACGAAAAAACGCTACACATTCCTGGTAAAATCTTTTAAAAAAATTGCATGTATCAATTACGACACTACATAAATTTACTGTTACAATCACGAATTTTCTGACCGATACGATGTGTCTGTTTTTAAACACAACAGCGACATGTTTTAGCAGAATGCATAACAGGAGACGCTTACCCTGTCGATGAACCCGGTCTCAATCTTTTTTGAGTTCATTCAATTCTCTCAGTTTTTGTATGTAACCTTGATTTGTCATCTTGATGGATTTATGTGATTAAAAAATTGTTAAACTACTATTGCTTTTACGACTATTGAAACACAATCTTAAAGTTTGTCGACTATTTCGTCTAAAAATCTAGTTAAACCACAGAATATCGAAAGATCTATATGTCTCCACTCCTTATGGTAAATACCAAAAGCATGTCAAATCAAAATAGTTATATGTCTCGAATGGAGAAATACAGAGGTAGAATCTGTTGCTTTTTCTTTGTTCTCTGTAAAAGTGAATTAACGCTGCAAAATGTTTAGCGTTAAAATCTTTCACTGTTTTTCTTATATTTGCAGTAATATCACTTGATGCAGAGTTAAAATTCATAATTTCTCTTTTTGGTCTATATAAAAGAGAATTAACCCTGTAAGACGTATGCGGTATCGTAAAATTGTGTCACTAATTCGCTTATATTCAAGACTTCAAATAATTCTCTTACATTTGAGCCATAAAAAAAGTTAAAAATAGGAATGCAAAGTTTGGCAATCAATTTTTACCATTTTCGTGCTACTTTATAAAATGCTATCGATATACAAATATTCGTTTTCGGAGAATCTGTAAGTCTCCTTTAGACTAGAAAATAAGTTTCAATGAACATTTGGATGGCTAGAAAGCAATATAGCACATTTAAAAGTCTACATTTCTTTGATAGTGGTTTTAAATCTGATTCATTTGTGTCATTGATACAATTTCTTACCATATATCCATCCAAATACCAAACATTCAATTATTCCAAAAATTGGAATACAAAAAGCGGCTATGTACCAGTCCATTAGTTGGAATACATATATTCCACCCTACATAAAAATAAAACATAGGATCAATTGAGTTGTGTATAGAATTAAGTAAAAAGTCAGTCACCATTTATGTTGATTAGATAAATTATAATACCTCTTGATGTGCAATGTTGTTGATTGTTTGTTTTGCCTCGTTGGCGTTAAACCCACAACTAGTTTTATTCAAACAATGTAATACTTTAGTGATTTTCAAGTAACAAGCTAACTCTTATCAAACTTTTATTTTCCGTACCAACGGAACGTAATATTCGAATAGAAAGGCGTGATTTTAACCGAAAGATTTGAACCTTTTATGTATTTCATTTTCAAAATATAGAAAACAAATATTTACAATCTGAATTATGTACATGCAAATAAAAAACTACAAACAGGTTACTTTTTATTACCGGGTTTGTACTATCATGAGCAACACGACGGGTGCCACATGTGGAGCAGGATCTGCTTACCCTTCCGGAGCACCTGATATCACCCCCAGTTTTTGGTGGGGTTCGTGTTGCTCGGTCTTTAGTTTTCTATGTTGTGTTTTGTGTACTGTTGTTTGTCTGTTCTTTTTCTTTTTTAGCCATGGAGTTGTCAGTTTATTTTTACTTATGAGTTTGAATTTCCCTTTGGTATCTTTCGCCTCTCTTTTAACCCTTAAACCGTGTGAAGGACACATATGTCCAGTGTCGACAAACCGTGTCTATCATAACCCACAACAATATTAATTGTCAAAAATTTCTACAACAAAATAATTTAAGTTTTTAGATTATTCCAGACAGAAAAAACGAGTATCGTTGTCTACATAATTAATTCAAGAAATGGCAACATAATTATTTTATTTATCTGAACGATATTTTGTGTAAGTCTTTGTACAACGTAAAATAAATACCAGGGGAGGATACAGACGTTTTAGCAGGGGAATGGACCTCAAGGTTCCTGCTGATAGGGGAATTCTAGTCTTTTTACATGATTTAAAAAAATAAAAGAAATGTGGACAGCCGATGAATACCGTACCTGGCGTAATGTTTCCGTTTGATTGGTTAGAATTGTAAAATCTTTTAATATTGTCATTGTCGGTACAAACATTTATTAAACCGTAAAAAAATATATTACCTTTTTTTATTTTACATTTACTTGTGGTACTGATTAATTATGTCTATACTTACAATTGTGTATTAGAGTGCGAATAGCTATTTAGTTTGCTAATGAAATCCCCTGTATTTATTAACAATAATATGATAAAAGAAGGAACCTTATAGTGTCACTGTTGTAGCACTAACGGGCATTGTTAACAAATCTGAAGTTGGTTAAAAAAAACTATTTATTTGCAAACTTATCACAAGGTTTTTTAAGATGATATGTAATGAACTAAACAGACTATCGTTGTTAGATATTTTATGAACATATGCGCTGGGAGTTATCATAATTAATAGGCCGTTTCTAATAAGCTCCTGGTAAATTTTGATCCTCCTTATTGAATTTTCCTGCAGAAATGTTACATGCAAAATTACCATAATATTCATGTAGTATTTATGGTTATAGAGTTTTATAGTTAAAATAGCAAGGGATAAAACCTTATGTAGATGATGTTCTTAATCGATAAAACGTAGGACTTCCTTTTTTATCTTTGGCACCAGTAAATTCAATCTAGTGCTTATTTAACGAATGACTAGTGCATGTCATATAAAAGTTCTATATGTGGTTCAATTGTATATTGGGAAAACCAATTCTGCTCTTTCGCCATTTGAAAACGTCCAAAACCGTGTAATATGATAATAGCTTATTTTGATCTAATAATTTAAAAGTGTTTACCTCTGCTGGCACCAATAAACTAATTACCTGAAAGCAAAAGGGCAGTCCCAACAAAAAGAAAGCCGCCATCAAAACGGCAGTAAACATCATTCTTCGTTTCCTTATATACCGGAAACTGTCACAGAAAACTGCAATTATAGGCTCAATACCTGCAAACTAAATAACATTTGCAACTGCAAAATTGTTAAAATAAGTGTTTAACAGTTTCAATTGCAAAATATTTCTGTTGTATTATGATGGCGGATACAAGTCAAGATATAAACAGCCAATCGTAGCTGTAAATATAGTGAAAATTGAGTCAGAACAGATGCGTCAACGGGGCAAGTATCTTCAGCTATGCGTGCATACCTCATCGTGTTATACCATAGTCGAATCTATCAGCAAATGTCAAGACCAAGTACATGATACAATATGTAAGAATGGTAATATGGTCGAATCTATGACAGTTTAAACATGTCTATAGCAAGGTGAGAAGTTAAGATATTGTAACTATCAGCTACTTCGGGATAAAAAGTGTAAACATTACTGTGGAATGATTTGTTGTTCTTCCTCATATCATACCTTCTCCTTTGAACTGTCGGACAACACGAGTATGATATCTGCTGAAAATGAACATAACTTGTTTTAATTTGACACCCGTGGTTTTGCCCTCTGGTGGAAGAATGGTAACGAGTAAAACTTGGTAAGGGTCAAATTGATAAGGGTTAGGTAAATTTACGATACCGATTTCAGTGCGCACAGTAAATGCTTCTGAAATAACGGATACGCTCGAAAACTTCAAAGTCTAGGAAGCCAAATACATACCATCCAAAACTGTTTACGGTCAGCTTAGTGGCAGAGAAGCAACCATAGATTTAACTCATTTATACAATTTGCAAAACTGAAAATTGTTTAAAAGTGTATCAAAAGTAGTTAAAAATATCCTTCACTAAGAGAAATGTTAGCTATCAATAGTGGAATATCAACCTGATAACGAGCAAAACAATTTTGAAGGTGACCGCAAAGATTGATATTATTAGCCCCCTCTTTTCTTACTGTGTGATATTCGATAGTTTTGGTCAAGTTCAAAGGTAAGTGTATTTCAAGTTAAGGTTAAACTGCCATTTAAATAATCAGATATGACTATTGTCTTTTTAAGGTACTTCTGTGCAGCAGTCATTGTTTTTAATATTTACAAAATTGTGATTTTTGTATACTGTATCCTTCAAAATGTACTCCACATCAAAATCAGATACATGCGCAAAATGCTACTTGATAAAAAATCTTGTAGTTACTTACTTGCGAATCTAGCCCTATAGTCAATATCATGATAAAGAATATAGCAGCCCATAGATTTGGTAGTGGCAGTTTGGCTACGACTTCTGGATATGCTACATAAATCAGACCAGGCCCTGAAAAAAACATTATGTATTAATGTATTAACCCAACTAGACTGGTCGTCTTACATCACAACTTCTATACTATTAAACGAGAAGACCTCATTTTGTGTGTCGCTTCTCTTCCTTCCCCAATAAATTAATCATCATGCCTCTGTGTCCTATAGGTACCATGCATAGTCGCATTTGTCATCCATTCTTATAATTACTCAGTTTGGGTTATTTTGGGAGAAAAACGAAGAAAAAGGCGTCCGGATATTGTTTCCGTCATCAGACCGACTTTTAAGTCATACCCAAGACTTCCGATTTTAAACTTAAAAAGAGGGGGTAAAGGGCTATTTTCGTGAAACGTGTTTTGCCACTTTTTATTTCACGTGCAGCCGTGAAAAAGGTTCGTTATGCACCGTGTTTCTTGAAATCGATAAAAAGATCAACGTGCAAGAAATTTTTAATTGTTCGCTCATCGTGAAATGGCAATTTTATTTCGCGTTCTTCCGTGCAGATACCACCCCCCCCCCCCCCCCTTTTACTCCCCTCTTTAAACATAATTTTCATAATTACTCGGGGACAGGACAATTATTTTCGCGTTATTCTGCATGTATACTATGATTATAATCCTATAATATATAGAGACTCTCTATATAATATAGCAGTGATCGCCGTGGAGAAGAAACTTTGAATTGATAGTTAATAGCAAATACAATTTATTTATATTATATGTATGTCCATAGTATACAGAAACGCGAAAATCAGGGAATTTAACAGAGAGAAAAAAAATAACGGACTTTGGAAAAAAGGGAGAGGGCTTAAAATAATTGTCCTGTCTCCAAGTGCCTATGACTCAGTTTGATACCTTTTCTGAAATTCTCCAGACATAAAATCTTTTACAAAAATTCATCCTACAACAGTTTACATACTTTCAACCAAGCTCTAAATACCCGCGAATTCGCGGGTGTGTTCTAGTTACTTTGAATTGAATAGCTTTGGTATTTGATGCAGTTTAAGAATTCAAGCATCTTTCATAAATTTCGTCGGTTTTGAGAATAATTTTAAATCGTTTTTTTCTGGTATCAAAGGTGCATGTGTTTTAAAAATGATTATACTCAACAGAAAGTTTGTTGTTGTATTATATTCTTACTTGTAATTTCTAAGGAAAATCCTGCTTCTAAGATATAAGGTTTTGTCTGTCAAGCTGAGTGGCGTTTCAGTTTCGGTATGTACGTCCCATTTTATGTTACGTTTTATCATCAGATTCAGGTGCAATATACAATATCATCAAAAATTGATTATTCTATCAAGAACCTAAGACAAATTTCAAAGGACAATGTGACAACAAAGGTGTTGACATAGCTGTCGAAGTTCGGTGGAAATTGGTATTTTGTTTTCATTGATGGCATGATGTCGCCGTGTAACTTCATTACAAAATGTAATAAAAACCATTAAATATCAAAAGCATATGTTAAAAGGATGGCATAAACTAGATTTAATTTTTCATTTTAACATTACGTTTTAGTCTTTGGTTGTCTTTATATTTACCTGATTCAACGACATCTGCTATGTCAACACCGTTGGAATGTGCCATAAATCCAAGATTTACCTGATTTAACGACATCTATGTCAACACCGTTGGAATGTGCCATAAATCCAAGATTTACCTGATTTAACGACATCTTCTATGTCAACACCGTTGGAATGTGCCATAAATCCTAGAACAGAAAACACAACAAATCCACCAAAAACACTGAAACCTTCTCCCATTGTAATCAGCATCACAGAATCTCTGTAAAGCATATGAATTATGCTAATTATAAAGTTTTTAAAATCACTTTTGCTCCAAAAATTCATAGCAAAGAAATACCGTTTATGTTAGTGTATGTGTGTCATTCAAGTTACACAGGTCATGGTTGCAACTTTTTCTATTTTATTATTGAAAACAATTTTGTCAAAACGTTACAACCACTTGAGAGTCTTACCAATCTCAATAGATATTTATTTGGAAAAATATCTCAACTCACTAGCGACATATTTTCGCAGTCTTAGATCTTTAGATACCAGTATAGTCGTCTGATCTATAATTTTACAGAGTTTTTCTTATTCCCGATTGTGATATTTTGACTTAATGTGACTGAATTCGCCTGACCAGGGCAGTGGTGTAACAGCTATACAAACTGTAAAAATCAGTTGAAAAAGGGTCTGACTCATCTAATCGACACGAAAGCTAACTATAAGTAACAAATAAATTATGATTTACCAGACTTAAATATCAAACAGTACACATCCAATGAAATTCGTGTAAAGACGTCATAAACAGTTTGAGCCAAAAAAGCATGACATCATGCAACAAAAATATAAGTATCGACATGATATCGCCCTCTAGGTGTTCATAACTGTATAGCATTACACATTGAGTTATGTTTTGATTTATTGAAAACAAAATCAATGTTAGTAAGAATAACTCTTGCTTCTTGTTAACATAGAATCGACTATGATTTATCTGAAACCACTAGATATGTCTTACCAATTACACCATAATATAACAAAATTTACTTTTCCTCACATCTTTTGATACAGCTTGAGTGTCCTGTCTTTTTGTCAGAATATACTTTTTTTAATGAGAGTAAGATAAACTTACTTACAAAAAAAATGTATGGCACCTTGCCTGACTTTTTAAAACAGATGTCACTTTTTTTGTCGCCTATTTTAAAAAAAATATTTAAGGTTCATTTCAACTTTGATGATCAAAAAGTGTGATTTTTCGAAGATGGAATGACCTTTAATTGCTCTCTGAAAATTTGTTTTGATTTCTACATGGTTTTGTAAACAATTACCTAAGACAGTTATTGTTGAATTTATTATAACTCGCCATAGTGATTAGAGGTCCCCAGCAAACACATGTTGAATAAAATACTTGAATTGCTGCCTCAATCCATACCTAAAACACATACGAAATAAAAACAATTAAATAAATTAAAATGTATTAAATCCTTGTTTTGTAAGAATTTTATCATTAAGTCCAATAATAAATAATTCCAACAGGTATCATTATTTGCAATTGTTTTTCATAAACATTGTTTTAAATTATTGGTTTGCATGCCTTGATTCATTCAAATACGCTTATCAAACAACCTGGTATGCAAGTGTGAAACAACAATACAACGTTGAAAATGTACCGACTAGCTTTCATCAAATATCTTAGAAAATGTAGAAGATTACCCGTACATTTTAGGAGCACCGAATATCTTTCTCTGTTTGGTCATATATCTTATTGCCAAAACTGGAGCGAAGATTTTTTTTTAGTGCTCGTTTTTTCAATACACCTGTTTTTCATGTTCCGTAAACTTGTCTCGTTGCAATTGATTTCTTTTGTTTGTGTGTTGCCGTTGTATTTATGTTTTGATATCCATTAAAATATAATTGGTTCTTTATCTTCTATCTGTTATGTATACTTAAAACGAAGAAATGCCTGGATAGAATAGAACCTTTTTGCTATTATGGTGAACACACATCGACATATATATAAAGCTTTAAAGGTTTTGCGTAAGGAAACGCTAATTTTTATGTTTGGTTTATTGCATTACCTGTGGTTCACCTATTCTAGTAAAATTAGGATATATGTAATATCGTATACCATTTATCGCTCCTGGTAATGTTAAACCTCTGACTAACAAAATAATCATTAGAATATACGGTAATGTAGCTGTCACATAGACTACCTGAAAAATAAGGTATGCATTCAGTAAACATTATATAAGACATGCACAAACGTTCGTATTATACTGTACATTAGTCCAAGATTGATCTGACGTCTGACGGTCTTCAGGACTTGTTGGGTACATGGGACTGAAACTCATGACCCCAGCAATTCTTGATAATACCGCCAAACGTCAGAGCAATCTCGGACTAGACGTGTTAAACTAAAACTAAAAAAAAAACTATGACATCGATTTCCTTGCGTACAAAACGTGTTTCTGGAATAAAACTCATTAGGTACCAAGAATTAGGAAAGCAAAATATATAGAACGTATGAGAACATAAAATCAGACAAAATTACAAATCAGTCAAGGTCAACTAACAGTTTTAAGAGCAAACATAACTTCAACATTGAGATAAGGAACACATGCACATAGGCAAATTCTTGAAAGAACATCAACACTTCGAAATCGAAATCTAAGTTAGGCATTTTTTAATATCAAACTGTATATTTAATGCAAGACTATTTGATTTCATAGCACACGATTCGAAGTAGGGATTATTTGTCAGATGATGGGAGTGAACTCAACTAGTAGAACCATCACCAGTTAACGTGGAAAAATTCCATTTTTCTCATTCGTCTCAAATGACTTGAAAATGAATCTATCTCATTGAGAAAAATATACCAAATTTCCTACTTTGTATGATCATAGATATAATAGCCATTGGCTATTATATCTATGGTTAATCAATATGATATCTCTGTCATATTTAAACTCTAATGTTTCTATTGCTTTCTGTATTTTCCTTCTTTCTTTTTTTTTTATTCATTTCAACTTCAGCACTCTTTTAATGTTTCTTCGTTCCTTAATAATTGAGAAATTCAAATGGCAAGCGAATGATGTAAACCATTTCGCGATCATGATCTAGCTGATAACGTAATAAATAAAAAAATTTAGAAGTACGGTTAAAATAAAGAACTTGTCTCAATTGTTTCATTGAAAACTACCGAACATACATCCTTTGAATATGTTATTGTTAATGAAACAAATGCTTAATACCAGATGAGATTTTAGTCGTCGATATTTCAGTTGAATAAATAGTCAATATTTTACACCGAAACTGACTGTATAAACATAAAATCATAGGCTTAAATCAGTGGTCAACCGTCATTTGCCATAGCAATAGTGACCCAAGCAATGCAACACTATAATGTCATTAAACAAAACAAAGTAAGATAGGCACCTAGAATACTTACTTTCCCAACGGATTTTATCCCTTTCATTAGACATAGAAATAGAACAACCCAGGATACGAACAGACAAATAAGTATGTTTAAATTCAAACTTCCCATTTCCTCTATTCCTTTCGACATGTCTAATACTTTATATCTGAAATATGAAGCAAAAATATATAAACCGAGACACAGAGAATAGTACAAAACATGATTGGTATTTTTGTGCAATGTCCACTGGTTTACCTAATATAGCTCATAGGGTCGAATGCACAAGGATTCATAAAGATGACCCCATGCTTTTTAAAGACTTTAATGTTCTGAACTTAAAGACCCTATCTTATCCATAAGTGTCATATAACGATTTTTGCGCTAGAAGGCTACTTTTTTTTAACGTCCTGTAAAAGAGTATAATTGTTATGTGGGGAAAAGAACAAATACGTGGTCACATTTCGACACACATACATACATTTAATAATATATTCACGAAAGACGGGCGCAGAAACTGTTTGCAACTATATGATATGTCCATCATGTTTAAGGGATGTGGATCGTAAAAAACGAGTTTCAAACTATATTTGTTTTTCTTACTTATTAATCTCACTTACTGCCAAAATTCTTCTTGACTTGATATTCGGTCAATGGAAAAGTTTCCGTAAGATGATGAGTTAGAAATTGTACTATTAACATCACTGAAGTTTTTCGCTAACGAAAGACTTGAATGCACTTCGGTATTATTTATATATCCCACTTTACGAGAATAATTATCATTGCGTAACGACGTAATTGGTCCATTGTAACATAGCTCTGTATTCCAAGCATTACCACATGTTGTCCAAGGTAGTGGTGATATAAAAGAATTGTAAAGATAGTATACTGTCCACGTGACCACCATGACGTAATATAAAGCACACACAACGTTTAGGATCACCATACCCATGCCAACGCCTGCAAATGAAGTTAGAAATAGATAGTAGAACAAAATAAAATGGGTATTATATATATGGTCTCTTATTTACTCTTTTACAATGTGCACTAAGTTTATTAATGAAGACCATTAAAAAAAAGAAAATTCAGAAAAATAATTTAAGACATTCAAGTTCTTTTACGATTTTTGAATTCGTTTAGAACAAAAACGCTTTTTGACGAAGATAATACCATAGCATGATAAGGGTTGTAAACGCGAGAACTAACAAATGAGAAAAACTAAACATTTCAAATATCTTTCTACCGTAAAAAGATATTTCAAAAATTCAAACGACTCTTGTATAGATTTTACAACCATTTTTTATTTGTTAAATACTTATTTCTATTCCTGTACATCAATGCTGTATGCACACTGAAGGATATGTAATAAATGCACATTTTTATACGGGTAATTTCAATCTGATTTGAAGCACCCGATAGCTTAAGATTTTTCTTTACGTTCAAAACACACAGGCAAACAGTTTGACGCTCAACTTTCTGACAAGAGAAAAGGGGAAACAATACGATGAATCGTCATTTTTATCTGGGTGTTAATTTTGATTTAACTTAAATAAAAATATGTGATGGATTTGAGATTGAAATGCTAATTATCCATATCCGTGAACGAAACCTAAATAACAAAAGCGGAACTTTAAATTTTCAGATTTTCTGTTTGGTAGTATAATTCTTAACAACTTGTGACATTTTGTTTCAAATCATTTCAAATTTTCCGTTTTCTCTTTTCACAAATCATACAATAATTGCTGCGTTCGTCCTTATCAATTAGAAACTTTTTTCGATGGCTGATATTTTTAACCATGTTGACTTTCCAGTGTAAATGCAGAAAATGTGTTCTTGCTTCTCTTTAAAAGAAATAAAATAACAATACATATATTCTTATCAAATAATGACGCAAAGCTGTACTTGTATATACTTAACTTTAAATAAGGGACACACTTCCCAACATTGAACTGTGCTCCGTGCAGTGAACTGTCCAAGTGACACCTCCAGAAAAAACAACGGAAACGCTATGAAAATACAGCATATCACGAACGGGAATAAAAATGCACCTGAAACAATTGTATTTCAATATTAATTACATTCTGCCTTTAAAAACCATAATTAATCCGCATTGATTTTAGTTTAAATATATGTTATACATTAGGGAACATATTTTCCAATGTTTATCTGTAATTTCGTATTTATCATGAAATAGATCTAGCAGAGTTCTGTTTATTTTTGTTTGTTTTGGAGGGTTTTTATAGCTCAAAAGTTATAACCTTAAAACTTATTTTAAAAGTGTGTGTGTGTGTGGTAGTTAAATCTTAAATTAAAGATATCAAAGATAAAGAGATCTTGTGAAAAGCTCAGTAGGTCAGTAGTGAATATGATGTCGTGCAATTGCTTTCTTTGAGTGTTAGTTAAGAACACTCGGGTCATTCATTCACCTTCTCTATTTTTTGCTGCGCTATATATATGTATGTCTATAAAGCCGTCCAAGATGTATATCATGCAAGGCAACTGATACAACTATAATAATTGTAACAGACTAGATAATTATAGAACTATAGAACTGTATAATTAACATTGTTTTCCTACACAGACTGACCTAGCTTTTACTGTGCGAATGTGAAGAAACAATTAATGTCGAGCGAACTATTTCCTGAGCGGTTTAAACAAATTATTAATTATTTATAAAATAAAACAAGATGATAAATATGTTTATGATTTTGGATTTTATTCATAAATTTATATGTATAATCTTTCCAGTTTTAACATTTCAGCGACTTGGTGGTTATTTTAGATAACAGTTTTGCAAATTAAAGTCTCCTTGGTAAAGCTAAGGAAGCTAAAAACATATATTTTTGGAGCTTAAAACTCAAAAGTGTCTAAGAAAAACACTTATAACCATTTAAGGTCATTTTCGCCTGAAGGTCTCCGAAGGACTATTAACTTTTCCGTTAGTCTCGTTGCACCAGAGTTATCGTTCTTACTGCGAACAACATATGCATATGGAGCAGACTACTTTTCCGTTAGCAAAATTACCCAGTCCGATAACATCCTGGCAACATTCGCTTGATGGTCAATACAGTAAAAAAATATTCTTTTTTAAAATATTTCTTTATTACCGATTTGTTCAATGTCTTAATTTTCTAAATATCCTATTAATCTTAGATTGATTAATTTCTAAAATGTGTGTTTAAACATAATTTGGCAGAATTACAGAATGCTGTACTTGCGATACAAGAAAAAAAAAATTGTTTATCTTAATTTGTAGATTTAAAATGATTAACATGTTCTGAACATACTAATGTTTCAGGAATCCAGTTGCGGAGCATTTTATAAAAGGCGACTATTGTATTTTTCCTAATGCATTCCTTTGGATAAATTTCCGCAGTAAAGTTAGAATATTCTTGATTATTTAGAGCAAAAATATCATCAAGGTTACGGTAAATGTTTTTAAATTTATCAATTAAATGTAATTTAGATGGATCTTTACTGAGTTTAGCCATAAACTGTTATTCATAATAATACAGGAACAAGTCTGCTATTAAAGGGTGCAATTGGTGCTCATAGGAATCCCTACAACCTATCGATAAACATTATTGCCGAAACGTACATAGATGTTGTATTGTCAAGAAGAAAATTTACATCATGAATCATGAAATATTCATAGTTTTTATGTGGCTAAAAATCTTTCAGAATCGTTCCCATGGTACTCAAGGCACTATAGTAAAACACACACATGAAAGTAAAAGTAGAAAAAACGTCTTTTCTACCCACAAATATTATAATAATAATAAAGACTAGAGTAGCTGACCACAATACTTATCATATATCTGTATTTTTAACACGACGTCTTCCAGGAAAAAGTAAAACTAATGGATTCAATAGTGAAATTGTTCTGTTCATATCAAGTGGCAAAATGAACGTCAAAACCCTCGTAGAAATCAAAAGGAAATGCCCTTGTAGTTTGCAAAAGAGATTATTTCAAAGAATAAAACGATAAGATGACCATCGTTATATCCTTCATCAGAATCAGTTTGGACACATACAACTGCAGAAAACAGTTAATCGGTTGATGACCTTTTGATGAACTGTCTCGTATCTAAAGCAAACACGTATTTGTTCATTCGCATATGTTACACTTTCCCAAACAATATATGTCAGATCGAACCTTGTACTTGATACATACTTCATAAGTTGAGATGAACTTTTGTTTACGAGAAAGTGGTCACTCTGTATTAAAGCTATAAAGATAAGTGACGCTTTCCATTTTTTACAAAAGCGTTCTTTCTTACTTAATCTACAAAGAAAGTATTTCTTGGAATTGGCATCTCTACTGTAAAGCAACAACATCTAAATTTACATATTGTATATTCCTTATAAAATAAGAAGATGTGGTATGATTGCCAAGGAGATAACTAGCCATCAGAGACTAAATGACGTAGATGTTAGCAACTATATATCATCGTACGACAGTCAACAATGAGCAAAACCCAATATCGCATAACGAGCTATAAAAGACCCCGACATGACAAAATGCAAAACAATTCGAACGAGAAAACTAATTTATATTATCAAAGTTTAACTTCTGTCCTCTCTCATGGCATTTTTGCAGCCCAACACAAATAAAATAGAAAAAAATCCAAGAAATAGCCATACGATTTATTTATCATGACCATAATAGTACATACGATGAGCTTTTGATAAGGTCTAAAAGTTCTAAAAATTACAACTTTAAAAGTAAAAAGACTAAGAACAATGGCACTTGAGGCATATAAAATCTTGCATTAGGAGAGACCCTCTTATTGTGCTGTTATATATATATATGTACCGACTCTAAAAAAAAGCTTTTGATTTGATTTGATTTGACAAAGATCGGAAAACATCGTAGGCGGGTATAAAAACATGAAAATTAGGACAATATGAAATGAAAAAAGACCCTCCTAAACTTCCTTTGAATATTATGCAAACAGTCTGTTAAATGTATTTTAATAACAATTTACTCCAAAATGACGTATCAAATTACAGATAACTTTTTGTTGATTGATTCATTTTCGATTCACGCCGCATTAGCGCAGAAGGCTTTTTCGCGACGAAAAAAAATATTTGCATTTTCTAAATCAAGTCGTATACATCTTAAGTTTGACTTCACAAAAACTGTTGATAAGTTACGGTTAGATCACTCACCGCCACCGTTTCTCATGCATAAGTAAGGAAATCTCCAGAAGTTTCCCAATCCAACAATATAGCCAAGCATGGATAGAATAAATTCTATTTTCTTGTCCCATTGTTCACGGTCAATATCTGAACTTTCTTCTGATATCGAATCTGTTTCTGTGTTTAAATTATCTTCCAAGTCGAAATCATGTTTTTCTTTTACCTCCATGCTTAATGTCTGTTGTATATATGTTACTACATAGATATATCTAATTAAGCTTCTGTATCAGTATTTATGTGACCATAATCACGTGATATCTTCTACACCCGTGTGATCAATTAAGTATGAATTAGATTTAGCCCCATGCTATGATGTGCTCCAAGTGATAGTTTACGAAAAAATAGATTGATTGATTGTTGGCTGCTTAACATTCAGTGGCAAATATTTCATGCAAATTCAGGGCGAAAAAAAAAGGGCAAGGAAACTAAGGACGATAATTATGAATGGATTCTACTTAGCTTATTGTGTATGTTAACAAATAAAGTTAACAACACAGCTTCCTTTTTAAATTTCCGAAACTCTTAAGTACTACTAATTTTAATTTTAATGCAAACTGAGGGTCTGGATGGGAAAAGGGGGGGGGGGGGGGGGGTCCTTCATTTCTGTATTTCTTTTTTAGGCCATTTTTCCCTATTCTTTATACATTTTGCCCATTATTCTCTATTCCTTATAATTTAGCACCTGATTATTCTCTATTCTTTATTTTTTTTTGTCCATTTTTCCTTATTCTTTATATTTTTTGCCCCTTATTCGCTATTC